TTAGACAGAAACGTGCTCTGCTTAGTACTCTCGTGACTGTGTTGACTTATATTCTGATGTGATTTTTCCAGTGCAGTGTTCATCTCCTGATGGGGAGTTAAGCCAGTCCTTAACATGACTAGCTAAAGGGAAAAAAAAAAAAAATGTCTGTAAGGATGCTGCTATTAATATGCCTTGTAATTAGTACATCCTGGACCTATGTTCAAGAGGCACAATTTCAGTTAACCTCTTTGGCTGGTGGGAGTTCCCTCTCAATATGACTGAGGGGGGAGAGCCGGGCGGTGGAGGCTCTGCAGCTCTATTCCCTAGCCCCTCTGGTCTCTGAGAAAAATGACTCACAGATAGGTTTCCACGGATCAGTGGCCATCATCCTCTGCGAGGAGACTTAGTTGCCAGGACAACTGTTGCCAAGACAGACTGGTTTTCCTTGGGAACAATTTCAGTGTGTTAGTTCTGTACAGCAAACCATCTCCCATATCTATTGTTAGACCTGTGCGAGAAGCTATGGGAGTGTTAGCTCCAGGTGGAAATCAGGAAATGGTAGGAAGGGAAAACAAGTCTAATTACCAAAAGGGAGTTTGTGGTCCTGCATGGATCTGCACAAAGTTTGTGGTGTCTCAGACTGTGCGTGCACTCTGCAAACATGGGCCCCAAAACCCAGCGCTGGAAGCCTTTTCAAGCCATGAGATCAAAATGGACTCCCGAGCTTACAATTCTCTTTAAATATACTTAGTTGGGAATAGGATAAGGTCCTTGGGGACATTCTGTATTGTACTATGTAACTATAAAAGTCCTTAGGACTGAGTACGGTGGCTGTGATCAACAGCTGTGCTGGAAGCAATAGATTCCACCACCTCACCCAACCTGGGAAATACTGGCGGTTTTTGGAACGACTGACATGCCCTAAAAGGACCACTCTTATGCAGCCGAATGGATGCAAGCTAGTTAAATGGATAAACTACTCTTCTGAAAAACACAAAGCAAACAAATTTAACACTGTTCTTGTTGTCCACCAGAGGTCACTTACAGGCCACTTTATTCATTATTGGCTGTGCTTTCACTTCCCTAGTTAGCTCTGTTGTTTCCCATGTTAAGTACTTCTGGATCAGCTGTGCAAATGCAGGTCCTGAAGACCCTACTATGACTTTGAATCTTTTCTAGAATCATTAAGAAACAGGAAGGCGAGGTGTTTGAAGCAATCTGAACAGAAAATAATCCCATTCCGTTCATTTTTCATTTACAGAGAATGAAAGAAAAGCAAAGGAAAAGAGCAAGGTTCCCGTTCCTCCAAGGTGAATGAAGGGCAGAAATTCCCCATTAGTCTATAGATCCCATTAGCCCAATAGTTAGATTATGTGCTCTGAACTTTGTGTGAATGGCATTTGGGTTTGGTTTTTTCCTTTTTAATGGCAAGATTTAACCACTTCTTGCCCAGAGCAATATAGCACTGAACAGTTTGGCACACCATACACCTGTGTAAGCATCAGTATATTTTTTGTTTGATTCAGTTGAGTAAATATCAAGGTGTAAATTGTGGTTTTATCGTGAAGCACTGTGATTTATCTTTGTATGTGGGCAGAAAAAAAAACCCGCAAAATCCTCTGTCTCTAGCTCCCTAATTCTTCTGATATTGGGACAAGATTGTGGCTGCTCTCAAATGTAAAGGTGTAAATACAGGTTTGCACTGTGGTTAGTTTTCCAGTTGCACTAAGTAATGCATTGTTTGCAGAAGTCAAACAGAAAGTTGGGTGAAAAGTGGCCTGGTGGCTGGATAAAAACTTTTCTTGAGTGATGGATAGCCCATACACAGGTACATTACAAATGTATAAGGTCCCTTACATCCCTATGAAGGTAAAGACAGAAGTTGTTTGACTACCTACATTGCAGAGATTTTACTACAAAGCAGAACAGCTGATGGTAAGAATAGCATCTCGATGTTATCTTCTTTCTGAATCTCATGCTTTTAAAGCTCAGATGTCTTTTAGCTCAGGTGGCAGGAAGCTCAGTCAGCAAATTTTCAAAAGAGGAGGAGAAACTCAGTGTGTGTGTTCTTAATAGTCAGCACCCTGAGTGAGGATTCCTGTGTGAATTGTGAACTCCAAATATCAAAGAGAATTTCTGGGTTAAGCAGGTTGTCTGGGTTTTTTTGGTCTGGCCTGCTTCAGAACTGTCCACTCTCTTACAGCTTCTATGGAGATTATATGCTCGCTCTTGCAAACTGCAAAGTACAGACTCAGCACCTCTGCAAAGTCTGTTTTTAATAAGAAACAGGAATAGGTTTTGGTTTGTAAGTTTAGGTCCAGACTAATATGCAGCCATTTAAAGTTTGAGGGAGCAGAAGGTGGTAGAAAATTCCACTTTATTCCTAGTTTGTCAGCTGTCTGGCCCAGGACAGAAAAATAAATTAAAGAACATCTGACTTCATGTCCACTGGAAACTTGCTGGGATCTGCTTGATTACGTCTTTATTTCTATACATAGACATGAACTCAGAGTATTATGCATATTGATGCTTATGCCATCTAACTTCTACCATGAACAACGGGTGAGACTCTGTAATAATAATTACAGTGCTATTCCTATTCCTACTTATCTGTGTTATTACTACGGCATTGTTCCTAGTGTGTCCTGCTATATAAATTCCCTCCTCTCTCACAAGCAGCTAATATTTTTACCTTGCTCTTTATATACAGAGTGTACACAGAACATCCAAAAATTTTATCATTAATCAGGGTACCAGGCCAAAATGGGAAGCAACTGTTCATCTGCATGGTCTCTGTGGCAGGCTGCCGAGTGAAAAGAAATAAATTAAGAGCTTCAGCTCTGCTCCGTTCTTCTTACTGTGCAGAAGTATGGAGGCATGGTAGCTTACACAGGCAAGGGATAAATCACTACTGATTCAGAAGAAAAAGATCCTGCACAGGATATCTTCCACTTTATATCTAAGAGCTCTAATTGTAAACTCACTGTATGAGCACCTATTAAGAATGGTGCTCCATCATGTCTGGTCTGAGGTTTTTCTGAAACAAGGTTATTCCTGGGGTTTTGTTCTTCAAAAGTCTTTAATCCTGACCCTATCTAACTCAATGAAAAGTTTGAAATACTTTGTAAACTCCTGGCTTGGGGATAAGAGCACTCTGTTGGTCTGACATCAAAGTGAATCAATGAGTTGGCTGTGCATTTCTATCCACTGCTTTAGCCATATATTCTTTTGCAAGTGTCTAGAAGCTGTCACCCTGCTATGCTGTGATGAAAATAATTGGATATAGTTCCCACTTCTGTTATTCCCATATGATGTTGCTGCTGGTGAAGAGTACTCAAAACTGATGGCTCCAAAGGCAAGTTTGAAACTTCAAAAGCCAAGTGTTCTCATGTGCCGAGCTGCTTGCTTCTCCAAGGAAATCTGCAGAGAGCTGCACCACGTATCAAAGAGCAGCCAGGGATAAGACCGTTCCCCCAAATGAATGATATGCAGAAAGAAGGTACATTCAAGGATCTACATAGTAAAGAACTCAGTACTCAAACTGGGAATCAGGAGAACCCAATAATTCTGGAGAAGGGATAGCTGTATAGAAATAAGGTGATAGAAAATGAAATTACAAATCCAATGAAGAAAGATGTTTAATAATTTGTGAATACTAAGCTACTTGCCCTCACGATTTTTATTTGCCACTTGATGCATGAATTTGCAATAATTCTGTAGATTTGGATACTGCTATAACATGCTGCATTTGCCACAGTTTAATACAATTTCTGCTGTGTGATAACCCGTGTTTCAGCAAGATGGAGTCCTGACCCGGAGAGAACCTAGGGGTGGGGAAATTGCTGAGAATCCTATCTGCTTTGTACTTCTGCTTTTGCAGGCAAGCAACCTTCAGGGAAGTTCAACAGACACTCCACAAACCAGACATTTTTGTGGGTTACAGGGTTACAAGATGAGCCCTGGATGCCATGTGTTGACAGCATATAGATACCACATTTGGCTCTTGGCCAAAATAGCAAAGGTCAGTGTGGAAATTTCAACTTCCTATTTAAAAAAAATAGATCTTCAATTCCAAATGTCTCTTTAATGCTGTTGGTTATACAATGTTTTTATCAAATCATGGCTGACAATAGCACTGCTCTGAACTGATGTTTTCATTTTATTTTTACTGAGACTAAATTTATTCCAGCTCCTGAACAGGAAAGGCACAAAGGCAGCCTGACAGCCTGCAGTTGTCATCTCTATCTGATGCCACTACACCAGAGAACAGCAGCCCCAGAAATGGGATCTTGGGAACAAAATCACTCCTGACACTACTGCAGTGATGGAGAGTTTGAATTGGTTTTTGCAGCTGGAGATGTCTAACAGACCTTCCTCTGGGTAAGGAAGCTTTCTGCAAGCAGAATTGCCCGAGATGTCTCTTCCTCAGCATTCTATTTCATGATATTTATTTTGCAGAGCTACATGTGGCAATATCACACACACTATTCTTGTTGCTGTACTTTTCAAGTCCACACAATGGCACCATAGCCAGCTGGACACTGCAAGGTCTATTGAGAAGTTTATTCTAATCACTAACTGAATCGTTAACATTAAAAGAAGACAAGTAGTAACTGATTTACTTAAAAGTTTAAAGATATATTCTTTCACCTCATGTTGTTTTTTCCAAATCCCACATCCCATTTTTAAACATAAATGGGTATGTTTGAGTCGGCCAAGTTTTTTTCCAGGGATAATTCAGAGTACGTTGCAGGAAAGGCAGTCATTGCAGTCAAGCAAGCCTCAAATATCCTTCCTTCTCCTAGGTTACTCAAAAATTAATCCATTGACTGAATAAAGGGGAAAAACCTTACGGTCAAAACTTTCAGTGCCTGCAATTGTTCTGACTTTTTGGTTGTTCATTTGTATTGTAACGGAGCCAATGTCTGTCCAAGGCCAGGCAAAGAGCAAAGGGCTCACTCCCAGAATGTCATATGCAGTACCTGTAAATAGGGGTGGTAAGATTGAGGTAGGCAATCATGAGGATTGTGCAAGATGGAGATAAGCCAGTAAGCAACCTCCTTCCAAAATAAAGAACAAAATTACGGCTTTTAGTAGAAATTTAGAGGATTTTTTTTATATATTTTTTTTTTTTAATTTTGGCAGGGTCATCTTCATGGTAAAAACCCAGCAGGTTTCTGTTCCATTTCTTCTCTACTACGTTCTGTTGTGCTGGTTGTCAGGGAAGCCAGTGGTGCGATAAGAGTTTCACTGTGTGCTGATCACGTAAAGGTGTTGGTAAGTAAAGATCTCTTTTGCTGTGATAAGTATTTGACCGTACTGAGGCCATGCAACCCTTCCAGGTGCAGATAGGCTGGTTAGGAAGGACTTTTGTACGCTGCCCTACCTGAGGATGGCAAGCTGATGAGGAGGACTGTTAGCAGGACGTGATCTATCAGTGTAATAGCATTCTGTCCCTTACGCTTGTTTTTCATTTTACTTGGTAGAACTGGGAGAAAACAAGGCCAATTGACTTCAGTATGTGGTTTATTTACTATAAAAGTTTGTCAGCTTGTGTTTGTGGTAGTTCCACTTTATTTTTTTCCAGTTAAACACAGAATATGTGGGAAACGATTGCCTCAAATTTGACCCTCATATTAAAATTAAGGGCAATTCCTGTGGTGCAACTTGTCAGAATGCCATGCAGAGCTTTGCCTTACAATGTTACTGCCTGTTACTGTTCTTCTGCTCAGAGAGGGCAGCAAAGTATTGCAGATCTGGGATCCAAGAGGACTTTGGCTCTGAGGCATAATACTGAGGCAGAAAGATGTATTATTAATAAACAAGGTCTGAAAGGAAAAATTGGGAGGCAATCAGATCATTACTACTTAAATGCACTTAAGCTTCTTGTCCTTTAAGCTACGTGTGTGTGCTAGTAGTGCAGATGCTATCAAGAGAAACAGCTTAATCACTCTAAGCTTAGGCATACGGCAATCCTGATACAGTGGAAAGAAGAGTCCCAGTGTAAATACAACAGCTGAAGAGTTCAGGATTCTTCCCAAAGTGGAATACTGTATGACTCATTTGGCATGAAGAGAAAAGCTTTAAATTTAGACATACAATGAACAGAACATTGAAGTGGATTTGCAGCATGGTAGGATTGACTGATGACTGTTGCTATATTAAGTATTTTCATTACACCTTCAGATTTTCAGAGTCTTATAAGCTTGTTTGTTTCTTTTCTAGTTTCCATACATAAAGATACAACCAGAGGCTAGACAAAATGGTTCAAACATCACCCCTTGTTCTTGGTCTTTTGGCTGAAGGCAGGACTGTTATTTCCTAGGCAATGCAGGCAACTCTGTCCTAGGCAACCCTTTAAACGAAGAAATTTATGAAATCACTCTGCTTGATTTGTCACAGATCTGTGGACTTAGCAATGACTCTTCTTCAGCCTTTCAATGCCTTGGTACTTTGGCTTTCACTGTTGATGGTAGCAAGTTCAGTTAACACAGGTAAACCTGAAGAGAAAATTTATTCCTGCCCATTTCTGCTCATGCAGAAGCTTACCAGGCAGAGATGGAAGAGATGGTCCCAAAGGTGAAAAGGGAGAACAAGGAGCTATGACCGTTTAGCAATATTGCATTTTGGACGCTCCTTATCATCCCTTTAGTCTTGTTTCATGCCTCCTTCATTCTTTCATTTTCTCTTTTTACTTCTCTCCTTTTCTTCTGCCGCATTAACCTTTTCTGGGCTCTACACAATTTCAGGAAGCTGAAAATGCTTTCTGCACTTATAAGGCTTCTATAAATACTTGGCTTTTAATAAATAAAAAAATACAATACATTTTCACAGCAGCCCATAAAACAGAGATGTAATGAGATCTGACTGTACCATTTGTACTCCGAATCACTTAGAGTTTCCTACGATACCCTACTGGATGATTATTGCTTTTTCTTTCCAGGGACCAGCTCTCAAAACCAGAAATCTGATGGTCCTAACTTGATTGTTTCATACTCACTAAGTTCCAACAAGAGAATGCCCCCAAGGCATGATTTGTTAGTGAGGTCACTTCTTTCACGCGCTGCTGCAAACAGCAAATAGATCAGCAAGTGCTTTCTGTCACATGGTAGAACCAAGTCACCTGCTCTCCTGAGTTGCCAAATCATAGTTTCTGTCCAAACACTTAATAAGTATACAAGGAACCGTATACTTTCTTACGGTACCCTGTCTCTGTTATCATGTGTATACCACACATCTTGGAATTGGATAATTGCTTTTCAACCTCCAAGTAAACTCCCATCATTATCAATACCACTTGATCTGAACTATGACATAAAATTTCAGTGGCATATTGATATTCTGTATAGACATTTCTGGTCTGCATACCCTCAGTATGCTCTCTGCAATTTCATGGTTGAAATAAGGAAAGCCGGCACTATCCATTTCAACAAACTGCTTCAGAAATATTCTTAATTTATGATTTAGCTAATTTTCTAGAGCATATGTTATGATGTGTGATTGGCTTACAGCTGAAGTACATTGGCTTTCTGGCTTTAGAGAATGCCTACCTCTGCAATAACATGAGACAACATTTATTCCATTAGATTTTCAGTGCCGTAAATAGGTGTAGTAAAGAATTTTTCATCAAAAAGTAATGCATTTCCTAGCAAATGAAGCTTTCCACGGGAACAACTCAGTTTTCCTGAGATGTTTTTATCTTTCTGGGGGAGGAGGGAAAGGAGTTGGTGTTTGGTACTCTCTCTAAGCACTAAGAAAACATAGTGGGAAAAAAACTTAGAAAACATTTAAACGATTTTATTTAAAATCAAACTCTAGGAGAAGGATTGAGAGGTCTACAGAGTTTCCCAGGAAAAGCGGGACCTCTGGGAATAAAAGGAGATTCAGGACCACAGTGAGAGAAAAGAGAAAAAGAACATGGGATTAAGAAAAGTAAGAAAAAAAATTCTCATGTTTCTCTAATCTGGTTTTCAAACTTTTAGTATATTTTCAAAAAAATATTTGTGTTAATGTCTGGTGTTCTTATAACATAATTTGAGAAAAGGTGTGATTTCCAGAAGTGTGAGGAGCAGAAAAATAAAGCATCTGTTACACAGGAGATGAGTTGGCCAACAGAACTGGGGGGAAAAAAGGTGTCTGGAATGAGTCACTAGTTTGTTCTTGTCTGTCAGTGAAATAATAAACCCTCTCTTATATTATGAACAGCACTTTTTCTTTCATTCTTTGCCTGTTCATGTATTTTTTACTTCAACTTTAATTAATTTAAAAATGTTTACATATGTGTTTTGAGTTTGAGAACTGGGCTTTTCCCTCTCAATAGAAGATGACTTGGCAGTCCTGAGAATTCAAAGCCCACCCAAGTATTCATCTGGGTCAGGGATAAAGCTCTCCCCGTGGGACAAATTCCCATGGAACGAATCTGCAATGTGGCCTGTGGTTTCCTTCTCTGGAAACCAAATAGGTCTCTTATGTGGCATCAGGTTACAGGAGAACTAAGCATCTCGGAGGCAGTTGTTGTGTAGTCATTTTAATATAAATTGCTAAATAACGTCTTTAACTCCTAGTCGTGGTAACCAATGACCTGCAGAGACAAGTAACTGCTTTGGAAACAAAAGTACAGGTTTTGGAGGCTGAACTAAGCAGAAACAAAAAAGGTAAGGTCCAATCATTTATTATTTTGGGGTTTGGACGGGTAAAATTATGAACATGCTTGTGCTGGAGAAGGGTCTGAAAACAGTAGGTTGAAGCAAATATTACAAATTTCTCTTGTGTTGCTCATGGGAGATGGTCATTAATTAAATGCTGTCTCACTGAATATGTCCTTCCTGAACTGACCTCCCAAACTTTAAGGATCACTTTGCCAACATAAAGGACAGGGGCTTTTGCTACATGGACTGCAGGATCAGCTGTTGTGCTTTAAGCATTGCATTACATTTCTCTTACTGCCTCACTTCTAGTTAATTTTCTATGAGTAGATATGGATTGGGATGTTGTCTGTCTTGGCCTGGCTGCAAGTAATTTCTCAAGAGATACTGTGTGAAAACTCTGAAAGAACATCTCATCAGTGCATTACGAGCCCTGGTACAAATGCTGCATTAGGAAAGCACAAGGTCCATCATTGTTCTTAACTTAACTGGGAGGAAGTGACATAGGCTGCAATTTGTCGCATCACGAGCATCAGCAGAACAAAGTCATATAGCTCCACACCACCCACCGGCCATCCTTCCAAGGGGGGATGTCTTCCCTGGAGAAAGCACAACTTTGAAACTATAGTTGTGTGTAAAGCCTGAAAGTAACCTGAAATTGGGGCAAGAAATTGAATAGCACAGAGAGGCTGAACAGCTGGCAGCAGTAATCTCTTCCGCCATCTCCCTTTTGTCCTCCTGTGCTCATGTGTCAGCACCCTAGAAAAGGGCGCCTGAAACTGCCGAGGAGGTTTTACCTGGCACGGGAGCGTGGGGGGGTTCCCTGCCCACAGAGCGCTGTGCTGGTACCGTTCCCACAACGTCAGGGGAAATGTAAACATGCATAGGTCCCAGGTTTTGTATCATTGTTGTAAGGTGGTAGACTCCTTTCACAGCAGTCCCAGAAACCTGTTAACCACAATAAGATAACATAACCTGCCCATTAAAGACAGCAACTGTGTTTTAAAAGAATTTCTGCTAGCAGTTTCGTCTGCTAAATGAACAGGAGCTTCACTTTCCACTGGCTTTTTATGAAAGCCTGTCAAGCACATGAGCTATATATTCATACTTCTCCTAAGATAATTTATATTTTCTGGAGAAATACCCGGTTTCCCAGGCTCGCTAAAGCTGTCCCAATGTCTCCTCTTTCTGCTCTGTTGCTTTAAACCCTGAATTTCATTACAGCCCCTCAACTCTGCTTTCTGTGATAAAGCTGATGGATACAGAAGATCTCCTAATTGCAGCTCAATTCCTTTGGATTATTTTAGCTGATCTGTGATTATTGCATTGAAACCTGTCAAGCTATTTTTGTCATGCTTGCAATTTGAGTGTGAATTCCTTTGGATCCTGATTCAAGAGCTGTAATACTATATGAACTGGAAACATTAGAACAAGACTTATGATCCAGTTTATTGTGAAATTCCAGTTTTCTTGAAGTGTGGGCTCAGTATTTCCAGGTGTCTATTTTGTTTTACTTCTATTGGATTGTGCCTACTTTTTCAGCAAACAGTCAATTTATAGCTGGTATTAGCTACTTCTGAAGTATCATCGTGATAGGAATAAATAACTACAGTACTATCATTTTTTAGTATAATACAATTATGTTCACTTTTGTTTCTAGCTTTGATTTTAAAGAACATCAAGAGTATCGGTAAAATATTTGTCTCAACTGGAAGATAGTTTCATCAGGGGAAAATCCCTTTGTGCAAAAGCGGAAGTGTACTTGCCTCTCCTAGGAATGAGGCTGGGAATAGAGCTTTAAAAGACTCAATAAGACCTTCAAAGCAGGTTTATATGGGGACATCTGATGAACAGACTGAAGGGGCAGGTTCATGGATCTCAATGGAGGGGCTGTAACTTACAGAAACTGGAATGTTGGACAACCAAATAATCTGGAAAATAAAGACTGTACAGTGATACAAGACTCTGGAAAATGGAATTATATTAATTTTTCAAATCCACATGCCTTAATTATTTGTGAATTCTTGAGCTGATGAGTCTAAGATATCCCAAAGTTTTTGCTCTTGGTTTTGTGGTTAATATAGAACCCATTAGTTCCCATAAAGGTGGCCTGGCATAATCAGAACCAGAGTGTATTTATAATTGTTTTCTCTTTGACATTCAGTTTTGCATCTCCTAAAAAAACCACAGATTTTTTTTTCATGATTATTAATTAAATTGTGTTTATCGTAGTGGTAGTAAGGCTGATAAATTTGGGCATGCTCAGCAGGCTGGTTGTTATACCTTCCTATGAGTCCCTCCTAAGTGCAGCATGAGGGAAGCATTTTTTAATAATCTTGAAACTAATACAAAAATTTTACATGTTCTGTCTTTGAGCTGAGTTGTAAACTTGGAGAGATTACTCTCCACATATTGCCTCTGATACATTCTTTGATCATGTAAATAATGGACAGTGCATACAGTCCTATGTTATTTCAGTATTTTTAGTGATGGCTTTGCTCCTAGTACGCTTTTACTCTAGTTCTAAAATTGACTGATAATGATCACTTAGAGCCCAGAGTGGTATTTGTCATCTGGCTACAGAGGTCCATTGCACACAAGTGATTACTGACATGCAAATAATTTGCTTTTTGAGGTTTCAGCTATTTTCATGCTGGTTTTCCTATGTGATAGGAAAATGAAACACGCTGTAACTACAAAGAGAAATAAAACGGTAAAACGTGCAGCCAGGCTGCTTTTTGTGCAGTAGAACAATCACAAGAGAACAAGATGGTCTTTTCTGACATTACATAGGCATCATTTGAAGCACAGGAGATGTAGATCAAGATTTAAATGCAGTAGAAAGAAGAAAATTTTTGTCTTAAGTGAAACACAAGAGTCTACTGGTGAAAAGTACTCCAAGTGGAATTTAGCTCATACAGAAAACAGCAAAAGGCCTTATTTACATGAATAGGTCCTTAATGTGAGAGAAGTGATACCATAGGGTTTTATGATTTTCTTGATGGGAGCTTCTTCCACCTCAAGTGGACTACAGACTGAATTAACTAGAAATAGGTGAATACCATGACAACGAAGCCCAATATTAAAAGTCTGACAGTTAAGAAAAATGTTTACATGCAGGTTTTAAGTTTTTGTCCATGGAAGAGTAAAAGATTTTCAATTCCTCTTCTACTTAGTTTAAGACATGTAAGCTAAGTACCTCTGTAGAGAGAAGGATTGCTTCTACGCTGGCAAGTTTTGTGGACCCATGGGAACACAGGAACATATCTGTGCAGAGGAGCATTTGGTGCCCAGCTCATCTGTTTTATAGCTGTTATTTTCATTGCATAATTCCATGTCTACCTTTGTAAGAAATGGCATTTCTTTTCGCTGCACCAGGTTATATGGGTACAGCAAAAAACCAATTACTGAAATTGGTGAAGGGTATGAATTTTCTAGAGTATGATTTATCTGCTGAGCCACGTCATGTTCTCCTTGTCATTACTGGCAACGTATCTTTGCAGTTCTCAAGTGAACTGCATTCCTTTTCTTCATTAATTGGTGCCCTGGGGCTATGAAAACAAGAACTTTTAAAATTTTGCCTGGGAGTTTTTAATAAATATTTGTTATATGAAAATGCAAGATATGGTGCAATATTTTAAAGACAGATTTGGGTTCATTTAGGACAAGAAAGAGACATTCTAGAGAGTAGGTACAATCCTGTTGTGCTTCCAGGTTTAGGGATCAGTGGTAATTCAGAATCCAGTGCATTTATTTGGAATGATTATGTAAGTCTACTTTGAGACTGTACGCCAAAACCACCGTGATATGTTTTGTGACCATTTCATTTGGAGCTGGACTAAGAGCAATGATGTATCATGCCTCCAGTGCATCAGCTGATAGGTTACAATCACTAACTGCTGATTTGAAAAAGATCTGGAGTAGTATTTTGCAGATGTGAATGATTGTGTTCTTTCAACTGATTTTTTTTTTTTTAGAAATACTATTCCTAATTGCCATGTCAGTCACTCTCTTAAGAGAGTCCAGCTCTGAAATGTAATTTAGACTAATTTTTAAATTATTTTGCCCACCAAATCTCTAATACAGCTGTTAGAAATTTATGAATCTTCTTGTAACCTTATGTTAAGATTAAATGTCTTCGGAGAGCACTACACATCATTCCAATGGGATCTATACAAACTGCGAAACCTCAGGTAAGTGCAAAAATATTCTTATGCTAAAACCACTGGGAGTTCATGAAAGCAGAATTGGAGAATGTTCATATTGTATGCTCAGTTTCATACAGTCCAAAGTTATCAGATAACTTTTTTACCAGGCTCTGTATGTGAAAGGTGTATTTGGCCTCGGCAAGGATGGTGTAAATAGCAAATCTGAGTTGCATTTCTTGAATCTGCTTGAAGCAAACATGTGGTCAGCTCATCGCTTGGGTCCTTAAGCTCTCAGGCTTGTCTTCTATCGCTTCTGTTGTTCCCAGCACTCCCGGTCTTGTAGGTTTACCCTGATGTAAACCATCTCAGAGAAAACTGTTGCCTAGCTTGAACACCTCCTGTGCTGAAGGGAAACCGCTCACTTCCCTTCCTTTCTAGAAAATCAAACTCTGCTCTGTATTACACGGATGAAAATCCACCTCTGGTGGCGTTGTCCTAGAAATGCAGCTGTGTAAGTGAAAGTATAGCTTTATTAGGCTGGGCTTACCCAGTAAGCTGACCTGTCCTGAACCATTGCTCGGCATAGCAGAGCAGCAGTACCGAAATCTGTGTGCTCTGGCGGGCCATTGAGTGGGAGCAGGCTGGTCTTCTCAGCTGGACAAAAGTTCACAGGGCAGGAGCAAGACCTGGAAATGGAAAATGAGCTGTTATTCAGCCGTATTACTTGAAACATTTAAACTCGGGAAGGTACTATAAGGTGTGCCCTAAGTTCTGACCATTCTCACCACGCATGTTAAGGACACCTTTCTTCGGTAGGTGCTGAGAAGAGAGGAAGAGTTTGAAATTGTGTTCTATTAATCTTTCAAGTGGCTTAAACCAGCATCCCTGATGACCGCTTAATTTTGCATTAATTATAAACTCATCTGTATTTGCTGTTATACCCCTGATGAGAACCATCTCATTCGGTACTAATGTGACCTCCGCAGAGCTTCTGAGTAATTCAGGATGAGAGCAGCATTTGTTAATCAGCTGCTGGGTTTATCTTTCTAAAACATAGCGCAATTTCAGGCTAAGTACAGGCTTAGGAAGAGCTATCCTGTCATGTGTGAAAAAACCACAATCTCTGAAAAGTTCCTTCTCTTTATTTTTCAAGTGGCAATTTTCAGTGGGAACTACAAGGTGGAAACAGGAAGCTATTTCAATCAGTAGCAACACGTACTTACTGCTTTAATTATGACACATAAATATAGGGGAAGGGGTGGTTAACTTACGCTCAGAGGAGAAACACGCTCTTTGCTCTGGCTTAATTCATGTCATGGGAAAAGGCATCACCCTGCTGTGTGAAACGCGCAGAGGAGGAGCGTTATGCAGGGAAGTCTGTGGCTTTGGTGCCACCAAAGTGGCTCAACCCTTTGGCCTAGGCCCTGGAGACACAAGGAAAGACAAATAATTCCTGGATTGTAGTTTGGCCAATAATGCCCAGGAGAAGAAATGGTGCAGGAGAGCCTGGAAGCCTAGGTGCAGTCTCATATCTCTTTTTATGTTTTCTGCCAAACCTCTCAGCCCTAGCAGCATGACTGGATCCCCTGTGTTATCTCTAGGGAATGAATTTGCCCTGAGCCACGTATGGTTAACCTCTCTTTTCATGTTCTGTGACCCTAGTGATGTTTCAGAGGTTGGTAGCTTGAGCTGTTCAGATGAGTGCTTCAGGGTAGGCAGTGGTGAGAGCTCTTTCCCGCCTGGCTGCGTGCCCTGGTTTATGTCTTCAGCTAGCGGCACAGTTTGTCCCACAGAGCTGAGCTTCTGCGTTAATCCTGCAAGAAGCTTTTGGCAGCTTTGCAGTGGGAGGAAGACTCTAGAGCGTCTACCTGGTTGGCATTCTCTTCCAGGGTGTTTAAATACAGATAAAACTTCAAGCAGACAGGCTAAGTATACAGAATGTGAGAGCAGTAGTCAACCCACATTTAGGTGTCTGATTCCAGAGAGTCTGAGCGTGCTGATGCTGGGCTTCATGAAAATGGGCCTGCATCAGCTCAGCGGTGCAGCAGACTGAATTTCAGTGTTTCATTGCAGCCTTAACAGAAAATATTACTACAGAGCTGCAAAAAATGCGTGAGTATGTAAAATTGTCTCACAACGTTCAAAACCCCAAAGCTGCCCTCAGTTCCTGTGTTGCTTTGCCTTAGTTTGGTTTCTTATTTACCCCGTTGTTTGGATACTCGCAGCAACTGTACCATGATGAGTCCCAGTTGTTTACATCCCTAACTGTCCTACTCCATCTCACGGCTTGTACTTGAACGAATTTCCGAGGTGCGCCAAAGGCAGTGGGAAGAGGAGGCGGGGATTAAATCATCTGGTCCTGCTGCCTTGCCGCGGCTTTCCCCATCAGGCTGGCTGCGCTCTCTGGACAGCATCTCTCCCCCTTTCTCCCGTCTGCACTGTTGGGATACAACTCTTGACCACTTTTGCCTTGTGCTTCAGATATGCACAAAAACAGGCTCTGTGCAACCTTCCCCTCACCTCCTTCCCAAGCATGTTTTCAATTCAAACTTGTTGGTTTGATACAACAAGGGAAGCTAAACTACTACAAACTGCTTCAGCTGAGATGGGCACAGCACTTCACAAAATTTAGTTGGAAATGCTGAAACCTCTTAAGTAATATCATAATGAATACATCGGTTACTCTCTTGATTATTTCCTACCTTGCACTTTATGGATCCAGTAACACGTGTGCAAGGGGGTCCCACTCAAAGCGGTTTGACCAATGCTAATTTGCTTACAGATCACTTTTAACCCCTCTGTCCTCGTCTGTGCCCTCTCCACCCTGCTTAAGCAGCTATATGCATTCACAGAAGCAAGGTGAAGAAAGGAAAAGAGAAAAGCAG